GAGAAAAAAAAAAGTTTAGCCAATAAAGAATGGAAGATATAGATATAGATAGATAGATAGATGTTTTCAAGTTTTGTACTTTTTTTTCGTGGAAGAAAAATCGTGCAATGAAACATTAATAAAGTTTCTCCTTCTTTTGGTCGACAACATTTTCATTACAACAATAAAAATTTATTTCATTGTGTATCGTTGATGAATCGTAAGCATAACTTCATGTACATGAATGAAAATACTATCAAAATTAAGGCATCTTGCTCATAGAGCATCCACCGGATTGGATGACAAAGTGTTTTTTTGGAAGCATACAAAAGAATTTGGGACGTCTACATGCAATTTCATGTTGAGCATAAATATTTGTTGAATTTCAAGGCAAAGTGGGTTGCATAGATTTAAATACACCTGTAAGTACAGAACAGTTTGTTGCTTTTTCTGCTTCAACAACTTTTTTTATTCATTCATTCATTTCATTGTTTCCAACTCCCTTGATATTTCACTGTTATACAATAAACTATATGAAATAACAGCCTTTTAAATAGGAGAAAATTAATGGCTTTGAGTTCGAAGGTTTTTTACTGTGGGGCCGTTCACTTATTACGTTCGCATTTTAGGGGGGAGGGGGGTTTGAAAAATTGTAACGAAATGTAACATAGGGGGGGGGGGGGGTGTCAAGAAGTATGTAATGTTCTAACTGTCGTCTGTCTTAAAAAAAGTTCATAAAAAAAATTTGTTTACAAATTCATACCAAAAACATTTTTCACCTTTTTAATGATAAAATAAATTATGAACGTTTAGGGGGGGGGGGGGGAGGGGAGTTGTAACATACTTTAACAAGGGGGGGTGGGGGTGAAAAAGTTTCGTTTTTTTGCGTAACGTAATAAGTGAACGGCCCTTGTGTTGCTCTCAACTTTTTTTTATTCCTTTGCTGCTCTTTGTTTGCTTTCATGCTGGCTGATTTTTTTTTTTGTTTACTATTCTCAAAAAGTTTTGGCTGTGAATTCTTTTGTGCATTTTTGTAGCCTAGATTTCCGATACATTTGAATTCTGTTGGACATTTTGACTTAAAATCCTGGATTTACAATACTGTAGGTTACATGCATTAAGGGTGTATCCGGAAAGCATCAAAATCCTCCTCAACAACCCCAATGAATTAATTTTGTAGGCATCAAATGGCAAGAATTGGTTTAAGAAGTAGAAAATCATCATCAAAGTTTTATAAAATGGCGAATGTGGATAATTAACTTTCTTCCTACATTTATCAAAAGCAACGATAGACTTCTTGGAAATAACAATGCCTTCCAGTTCAGCAAATAAGATTTTCCTACTAACATTCAGTTTCTTTTCGTAAGATTTCCAAGCCACAATCTTAAAGAATACTCAATTTAATCTTACAAAAACTAGTCATATTTACACTTGCGATTCGACCTACTTTCTACTTTATTTTTCCTCTTATTATTTCTGCACAATTATTTAATAATTTTTTTATACAGAACAAACCTCAAGAAAATAAGTAGGCAAGACTAAAAGAACATTAATCAAAATTGCAGACAATTAAAAACAAACGCTCATGAGCAGCTTCCAATATTTATTGAAAAAATAATTATTTCTATGCCTCTCATTTCTCCATATCACTGCCAATTCCAAATGATATTTAATTCAATTTATTTTTCTTTTCTTCGTCGAATATTGAGGAAATATTAAATAAAAGCTCAGCACAAAAAAAATGAATGAAAGAAATTGAGAAAAGAAAAGGAACAATCTCGCTGCATTTCAATCAACGAAATCAATATCGCTGCAGCAACATGTTGCATTTAAAATCATAGTTTCAACATATAAGTTTCATATAATTTTATTATAAATCGTTTCATTCCTGCAGGAAATAAAAGTAAGGAAAAAGAAAGTTGTGATAAATCATTCTGAACATTTTCTGACATTTATTGGAAACATAAACATAAACATGAACAGACAAGATGATTCCTTTATATGTTAAATGATTCTTCAATCTCGTCTCTGTTTTTGCTGCTGCTTTCAAATTTCAATGGAGATGAAGCTTTTTTTGTTCTTATTTAAATACTTTTTGTTGAGCTTTGAAGTCTTGTTGGTTTAGTGTGCTTATTCTTTTCTAACTGTGAACATCCTTCATTGAGGGCGTATTGTAGAAAGTATTGCGATACAGGCACTTGTGCACAGGTCAAGGGTGTGGAACTGAAGAATTACATTTTGATCATTTTTGATCAATTTTTATCATTTTTGATCATTTTTGATCATTTCATATTCACACAAAATTTTCAATTTTTGTGAATTTTTGATCATTTTGATCATTTTTGATCAGTTCATCAGTACCACACCCTTGGCACAGGTGAGAACCGTACAACTTCTTGATAATTTGTGAGGCTTTATTAGAATTTGTATGGTTTTATTAAAGAAACCTTATAAATTATCAAGTGATTGTACGGTTCTCATCTGTGCAAAGGTGGCTGTCTCTCCAATTTCAAGATACTTTCCAGACCTGAGCTAAATCGTAACTCTTTTAAAGTCAACTGGACTCAATTTTAATAGAATATATGAAAGCACTTGATATGCTTGATTATGAACTCTAGTTTCTAGACTACTCCTACGCACTATGAAGTATGACAGCAGTTTATGTCCAAATTGTTTTTTATTAGCTACATTAGATCCTAAAAATTAAAGGCAAAGCAACTAAAATCACATTCCATCATATCCACATCAATCATGTTATTCTATAGATAATTTTTAATTAAATTAAATCAGTGACTAGCAACTTATTTTAAATTTACCAGCAGCAATGCGGATGATGATGATTAAAATCTAGATCATGATAAGGATATTTTCTTATTGTTCTAAAATAGTCAAGCAAAATTTTACACTAATTATTCTACTGTAAGGCTTCCTGACATCCAAGAAATTACAATTTAATTATTATGAAATATAAGCGAATGTAAATAAGGGAATTATGTTGTTATTCTTTAAATGAAATAATATAACATGTTAAAGCCATAAAACAACTGTATTACTAGTGTAATATGATTATGAACTAAAGTCCGACTAGGGATAAAAATCCGAAAAAAAATTTCATATCTCATGATGACTCACAATAAAAATCTAGGCAAGCTTTGTGTCTAAATTTATAAGTTCAACACGACACATGTACATGCCTGTGTGATTAGCCAAAAAAGGCTTGCAAATAAAAATCTTTGCTTTACAATTTCACGTGGCATGACAAGTTTATTTGTAAATCTGTGCGCGTTTGGGCATGAAATGAAATTAAAGACAATATCTTTTATGAAATCTTTAATTAAAGTATTTGTTTTAAAGGAATGACAACATTTTCCTTTGTTTGATCAAGTTAATTGATTTATAGAACTGATTTGTCAAACGGGAGTCAATTAGTGCTTGTCATTTATTGATTATGAAACATGGGAGTTGTTTGGCAGGAGGCACGTGACTTTATGCTTCATAAATCTTTATCTAGTTCAAAATATTTGAGAATTTTAAATCAAATTAAAGTAGAACATGCATCAATAGTATGGAGTAGTTCTATAGCTTGCATAACTTACTCAACAAACGATGCAAATTAAAATTTTATTTAAAAATATTTTCACAATCAACCAATTTGCATCACATCGATGCTGATAGATTGTAGAACCTGATAGAAGTTGCAATCAACTATTATAAAAGGTTCAATGATGCTCTATTGAATTGTAAAAATGTTTCACCCCTCAAGCTTGAAAAACGCTGTTAAATTTTCTATAAAAGAGTTAAAGGAGTAAGAAAAAAATGAAAATGCTCTAAGCACATCATTAAATTTTATAGACCTTTAATGTCTTCTCCACAGCAATCTTCTTCGCTACAATGTTTTGGATAATAAAAATAAAATAAGAAAATATTAACACACAATCCGAGGGAATATGTTCTCATAGTTTAACATCCAGTAACAAGAACATTCCAAGTTATGTCAGGGTTCAAGCATATAAAGTGCTTTATCTGTGTAAAATTTTAAAGATACAGTTCCTTTTTACATTTGACTAGACTCAAGTCAATTTGAGGCAAATTTAGTAAATTTATGTTATTGATATTGTTATCTACTTTCCAAAATCTTTTATAAAGTCATTTTGGGAGATTATGTTTGAAAATATTTGGGTACGAGTTAATATTGTATGTAAGATTATGGATAGAATTAGTTGTATGAAGATGAATTTAGTTGGAAGTTGGAAATTTACGGTTTAATTCAAGTTTGGGCACAAGGTCAGCTTGAAGACATGATCATTAACTAAAACTAGCTCGATTTATTGTTATTTGAGTATTGGGAATAAGTAAAGTTTTAATTTCTGGCCGAGATGCTTTTAATTAAATGTAATAATTAGATCCAGCACAGAAATTGAAAATTCGACAACAAGGCTGCATCTTTAAGTACAGACATTAGTTTATTTATCACTTTTCTAAAATCTACTCCATTTTACATCTCTCTTTCCATACTCAACATATTTACAGCTGTTTAATTCTTTCCACCACAACCCTGCCGCAAACTTTGATACTATCAATGTTGTTGACTTTATGAAAATTATATTCATTGCGTTTTTTTTCTTAATATAATATGTATATTTCTTGTGATAATCTAGTAGATGGCAATAACAAGCAGCACAGACTGTTATTAATGACATGCCATTTTAATCGTTTGAAATTTGTGAACATGTAATAACAAGATATATATCTCGAGTAGAATTTGAATACATTTGCTTACATTTACAGGCATTGAAAGAATTATAATATATTTAAATATGTACAAGCGATGAAAGTTATGGGCGTCTATGCATAAAAATGAGAAATGAAATGAGAAAATACCTGTTGAGTGTAAATTATTCCACTCAATCGACCTAATTCCTTACTTAATATTATTTATTTTTAAAGTGCCAACTAAAGAAAATTTTCTTCATTTCCTTCCTTCTTTTTCTATTTATAAACCTTTACGCACACACTTATAGATGGACAATCTGAAGTAGAAGTAAATTTAATAGTTAAAAAATATGTTGAACGTGGCGGAAGCCTGATACTGACATGCAAGCACAACGTTGAGCAGGATAAATTGTATAAAGTTACATGGCTAAAGAGTAGCAGTAAAATATTTGAATACATTAAGAGTCGAGAGCCGCCATATCGAAATTTCACCGTTCCAGGAGCGGATATTGATGTAAGATGTCGATGTCATATGAAATTTAATACCAAGAAGTCAATTTTCATTATTTCTCTTCCTTCAGTTTCAGAAATCAAATCAAAATGAAGTGACACTCAAAATAAATGACTTCGATGCATCCGGAATGTACTGCTGTGAGGTGTCTTTAGAGTCACCGATATTTACAAAGGCATCTAATGAGGAGCAAGTGCATGTCTTTCGTAAGTTGAGATTGAGATTGTTTTTACATTAAATGTTTGAAGTTGGCTCCAACAAGTGACGACATTTGGCTGTCAATTTATTAATATATCCATAAATAGCCAATAATTGTTGAAAATAAACATCACAGACACGCCTAATTTACATTATTATTATTTACATTCAACAGTTCCACAAAATCTACCGCCAACAATTTCATTTAGTAAACGACAATTTTATATTGGAGAAAAGCTTGTGGCAAATTGTACGACAGCGAGAGCTAAGCCAGGTAAATAGATAATTAGAATTTTAATTAATCTTAATGCTTACCAAAATACACACAAAAATGTGGATAAGAAAAAGCAAATTTTTTTTAATAAAATCACCGTCTCGTATTTTTTTTAATCTTTTTCGCAGTACCACATATAACATGGTTAATTAATGGAAAAAAGGTAATTAGTAGTCCATTGCTTTATCGGAGCTTCTCACACACTCAGCATGACGAAGGATTTTAGTTGAATTTTCGAGACTGATTAAAAAGTTTTAATTAAAAATTTAAATAATAGTTTTGGGGTTCGAAGGTTTTAAGGAATGAATTTATTGGAGTCGAGAATTTGAGGACTGCAAGAGGAGTTGAGGGGAGTTGGACTTGAGAAAATGAGATTCTAAGCTCAGTTTTTGAGCAGACTGATTATGTATAAAAAAAAAATCTGCATATAATCAATGTTGTCACATGATTGTCAACTTTATGACACATATCCAATGGTTTTTCCCAGAGATCGAAGCCGATTTTTTCGGCTTAACTCAATTTTTGATTATTTTGATAGAAAAAAGCCATTTAACACCCATTTTAAGTATTTAAATTGAACTTTACATGCTTTACTATGATTCTGTGAAATATTTTTTCAGCATGTAGCTATAGTAAGCTCTGAATTTCAATTTAGCCGATTTTAAGCCGATCGGCTTAAATTTCGGCTTAACATTCTTTAACTTGAAATTCTGAGCTCACTATAGCTACATGCTGAAAAAATATTTCACAGAATCAGTGTTGCATTCTGGCTATTTGTCTGGATCAGATAAATTCTGAGACAGAAATTTCTTCATAAAATCGATTCTACATGTAGAAAGAAAAAAACCATCTACATGTAGATTGTGCCTACATGTAGAATCTGTCTACATGTAGATTTAATGTAGATGTCTACGATTCTACATTCTTCTCTGATGTAGACCTGGAAAAAATGTAGAATTATAGACATCTACATTGAATCTACATGTAGACAGATTCTACATGTAGACACAATCTACATGTAGATGGTTTTTTTCTTTCTACATGTAGAATCGATCTTTATGAAGAAAGTTTCTTAGCTAGACAAAAACTATTGAAGAATCTACATTCTTCATCTAGTGTAGATATCTACATTTGCAACACTGCACAGAATCATAGTAAAGCATGTAAAGTTCAATTTAAATACTTAAAATGGGTGTTAAATGGCTTTTTTCTATCAAAAAAATCAAAAATTGAGTTAAGCCGAAAAAATCGGCTTCGATCTCTGGTTTTTCCAGTTTTTCAATAAAAGATAATCGGAATCTTCTGGATGCGATTTATTGTGACAGCTTTTAGGCAAATTTAAACTGGAGCGTAATCTTTGAGTTTTGACATTAATATTTGAAAATATTAACAAAGAATAAGCAGCAATCGATGTAAAAGACTGATTTCTGGGGTATTTCAGAACTAGAAATGATAATTTAGATCTACCGGAAGTATATTTGAGAATCTAGTCTCAGGGACTTAATATGTTGCAGTAAAACGTCTCACAGAAGTAAAGTCATCCTGACATCGCTGTGAATGTTGTTATACCAGAGGTCGAAGTTGGTGAAGTGAAGTCGTTTCACTTCACTAAAAGTTCAATCGGTTTCAAGTCAGCTCGAGTGAACTCATTTTTTTCGTGTTCACTCGAGTCGACTTTTAACCGAGTTGATTTTTTCGTGTTTACTTTAGTCGACTTTTAACCGAGTTGATATTTTCGTGTTCACTTTAGTCGACTTTTAACCGAGTTGATTTTTTCATGTTCACTTTAGTCGACTTGAAACCGACTTGAGTTCACTAAGGAAAAAAAATGTAATATACCAAACTGATTTCTGCTATTGCTTGTGAAGTATATGTGATTACATACAAAATTGCAGAATTTGTCCTTTTTTACTTTTCATAACCATAAAGCAAACTAAACGAATTAATTTAAAATATTTTTTAGATTTTATATATTTTATACATGTTTTGCACTATAGATTATTTTTCTGATTTGAAATTATTTATTACGAACTGCTACAATTATGAATGAAATTATTTTAATTCACACCATATTTCCAATTTTGGTGAATATATTTTAATCTCATATTTATTTGTTTGACAACATTGATATATTGATAAGTGCACTGAATGAATCGTAAATTCTATTTTTCTTCTCACTTGTTTTTAATTTCACCATTAAATATAACACTTCTTTTTTAATTATAGAGTTAAATTTCTTTAAGGTACAAACATAAATAATGAAAAAAATTTAAAACTTAAATTATAATAAACTGGAAGTTTGAAAAATATTTTAAATTAATTCGTTTAGTTTGCTATATGGTTATGAAAAGTAAAAAAGGACAAATTCTGCAATTTTGTATGTAATCACATATACTTCACAAGCACTAGCAGAAATCAGTTTGGTATATTACATTTTTTTTTCCTTAGTGAACTCAAGTCGGTTTCAAGTCGACTAAAGTGAACATGAAAAAATCAACTCGGTTAAAAGTCGACTCGAGAGAACACGAAAAAATCAAGTCGGTTTCAAGTCGACTAAAATGAACACGAAAATATCAACTCGGTTAAAAGTCGACTAAAGTGAACACGAAAAAAATGAGTTCACTCGAGCTGACTTGAAACCGATTGAAATTTTAGTGAAGTGAAGTGAGTTTGCTTCATCGACTTCGACCTCTGTGTTATACTGCTCGAAATTAGATATTAGTTCATGTACTTAGCGACAATTTACTTAAAGATAACCTCAAATCATTCAATTGCTTTAATATCACAACAATCCTAACTGTCCACTCCTTGAAATGAAATTAATTTGATATTAAATGTTATCAAACAAATTCAACGCTCACCATCGTGTCAGAAAAAAAAGCCATTTTTGTCCTTAAAAATATGAAAATTTTCATTTTTTTTTCATTTCCTTTATTATTTTCATTCTCGTCATTATTGTTTCTCTAAAAGACCGAAAAGAAAGTTATTTCTTATCATGACTGAAAAAAATGGTATAAAAAATGTAAATATTTGTAAGAAAATTCTGATGTCTTTTTGCTCGCTTGTCCCAACAACCGCGCCCGTAAAAAAGAATCATTAAGGACAATATACACAGAGTGTAGCATAGAGGAATAAAAAAAACATTATGAAAGAGGAAAAAATTGAAAAATTGTACAATTTTCTTTCGTTTTTTCTGCCATCAACGACAAAATATCTCATTTCAATATTTCCTCATTTTTATTATCAAATTTTCTTGCTTTTTTGCTGTCTCCATGTCTCGCTCCTCCTGATTTTTCCTTATTCTACACGTATTTCATACTACTTAAGTGGAGATGTAATGCAATGCTTTCAGTGGCACGTACAAGAGTCAATTCCGCGCCTTTGTTAGGACAAAAAGTTGGATGACTTAGTGATGTATTGAAGCATGTTGAAAGCTAATGCTGACAAGTTTTTATTTTAACGGTTTTCAAGAATTTAAATTTATAACAGACTTTTGGATTTTGAATTTTTCATGAAAAAAACGTTAAACTCATTTATTCAAATTTCAAAAGATCGTTGAGTATTACAAACATAAATCAATCATGACAAAAAAGTTTGAAACAAGCATACCAACAATTTGTCAGAAAACTTCAAGTCAACTCACCAAAAACAACCACTGGAGAAAAAATTAATTCCGATCTAGTCCACAGACAATGTCCACAAAGAAATTGGAATTAACAATAACAACAGTAGCATTGCAGGATGAAGAATAATGAAAATTCAAGGGTGTGATATAGAAGAATAGATAAAAAGAATTTAAGAGGAAAATCTCAATTTTCGAGCTTCTTCGAAAAACGTGAAAGAAATTCATCCCAAACGGTGATTAATATAGCTAGGCAAAAAAAAGAAGTAGAAAAGAGAAAGCCGGAGACCTTTTTATGACAATGTAAAAGATAATTAAATTTCATTTCATTGTGAGGCGAAGAAATTTTTGTTACCTATAAATAACTTAGTAATGCTATTAATGCTCCAACAGAAATCATCGTAAATTAAAAATTCTTACGGATTTCATTCCTCCTCTTTTCATTTGCGGTGAATAAATTTTTATTTAAAAACTTTTCGCTTTTATTCGCAAAAAAAGAGAATCAAAAAAAATCTTTAATAAAAATGTCTCATTTTCTCCTCTATTTATGTATTTTAAATGCCATGTTGAGCGGCAATTGTCATGCTGTGTGTAAAGCCCCTTGAGAACAGTGTTGGAAAATGATTGTGAACTATTGAAGCTTTAAGAAAATTGTATTTTTAAAAACTTTTAAAAAATTACTATAAATTGTCTATTTTAACGGATTTTTTAAATTCAAATTTTACAGGATTTTAAAAATTTAAATTTTTCCATATATTAAAATAGTAAGAATAATTTAAATTCTAGTCGACAAGTCTTAACACCTGCTCATTTTCCAACCTTTAAGCGCTCGCATTTTTTCCAAGAAATAATGATGAGACTTGATGATAGTACATAAAATGTGATATTTATGACTATAACCAAGGAAAGAAAGTTTTACTCAATAAAGAACAGCAAGTAATTACATCTTTTGTTTCCATGTCATTTAACTACACAGGTTGATGAAATTCACACGAGAACTCTTCATCCATTCGGTCCTAGTTCGAAGCATAAATCTAAATCCCATCACGAGAGAAATGACTTTAATGAGCATCACGTGGATGTTAGTGGAAAATCATCATTATCATCGTCGTTGTCGAGAGGTAAGGTTTTGAGCTAGCGATGGCAGAAATTGAGAAAGAAAAAAATATCTTGTGGAAAATTATGATAAATGATTGAATAGATGATTTTTGATATTGAACGGAGGGAAAAATTTTGAGATGTAAATCTCATGCATTCACTTTTGAGTCAATGACGTGGTAAATTTTCTACAGATTTATGAAATAAAAAATTAAGATCGTTGGTATTTGAGAATTCTTAAAGTGTTTGGCAAGAGAGTTCAATTTTTAAGGAGGGAAGAGGATCTTGAACTTTCTGATACTTTCGCAATTTTTCAATTTAAAAACTTACCAGAAAAAATAAATATTTTATGGGCTTTGAAATAATTTAAATAGATTGTAAAGAATTAATTCATATGTGATGTCAAACATTAATGCCAATCATAAAGCATAGATTTCCACAATTTGTTGCGTTTATGAATCAAAACGAACAAAATGTAATCCGATAAATTATTCAATATGTTCAGATTGTGTCTAAAATCAGTGAATTTGAATGTTTTAAGCTAATTTAATTGAATTCAACAAAATTTTGGGTTGATTCGTCTAACTTTGTAGATTTCTATTGATTTAACATATTCAAAATTGTTCAATCGGATTAAAATGAGAATTTCAATGAAATTAATTCAGTAATAAATTGTTATTTCAATGGCAAATTTCCTTAGAAAAATATAAATTTTAATGATATTCAGCATTAAGTATCTATGTAATTCACTCCAATTAAAACTATTTGCAGTATGAATTCTTTCACTATAGATACAAATAAAAAGAAAAGATTTGTTATTGAACAATTCATTAACAAGAAAATACTTCAAAATTTTTATCTGGATTCGTTTTAGTTGGAATTACATTTGTCCTTCTTGGAATTAAGACTTGAAGCTTTGTATGTTTTTGAACTCGTGCGAACTTGACATGCCCTAGCGAGACTAACTAGCAAATTGCTAGTCTTTCTATTTTACTACTTGCAATTTACTAGTTATTATTAAAACAACTTACTATTAGTAAATTACACTTACTATTTAATAGCAAATTACTAGCAAATTTTCATGAGAAATGTTTGATCAAATCTTCTTAAGTTCGAATCCTACGAAAAATCATCAAAAAAAGAAATTTTTGCATCATAAAAAATTTTGTTCTAAATTTGGCATTTGCCATATACTTCACAAGAGCGCGCAGAAATCACCTTTATAAGCTCGATCCAAATTTGTATGAGACATTCAATTTAATTATTTATCTTCCTCAGGTTTGCGTGCGAGTCATAAGCGTTCATCGGTGTTTGACTTAATTAAATTAAGTCTTTTACTTTTTTTCTTAGTATTAGTGTACTTTAATTAATTAAACTAAGTACACACTAATACTTTTACAATAATTTACACAAATAAAAAAATCAAAAAAACACGTGGAAATCAACGGTTACATTCATTTAAATTTTTTACAAATTTGCTAGTAAATTACTAGTTAAATTGTAAGCGAATTGACTAGTCAATTAGCAAGTGAAAATGCGGGTCTTTGGCGATGATTTGAACTTGGATTTTGACTAGTAAATAGCAAGTAGCAAATGGAAAGTTATCAAGTAAATTACTAGGAAATTACTAGTAAATTTCTGCTAGGGATGAATTACTGCAACCTTTGCAATAATTATTAAAGTTTGATTTGACAACAAAATTTGAAGCTTAGAATCTAAATTGAATATTCCTGCAACCTTTGCAATAATTATTAAAGTTTCATTAAACTACAAAATATGAGCATACTTGCTCCAAAACTTAACTATTTGAAGCCTAGAATTTAAATTGAATATTACTGCAACCTTTGCAATTATTATTAAATTAATAGTTCGCACGAGGTGCTTTTGATTCATTTTCTTGAAAAATTGTACCTGTTAACATCTAAGCATGTCTATTGGAAAACTTTAGATGTAATTTGGGATCTTCTTAGAAAATTTTCAATTTAATGCTCAAAAACATTCTCAGTATTTAAAGAGGGCGCAGCCACTTAATTCTCTAGCTACGTACGTTCATATAAAGATCAAAAAATCAATTCCAGAATACTAAAGAACAAAGAACAGAAGAGCCCTCAAAATATTCAACTATAAAGCTGGCAAACCTTAATTCTAAGAATTAATTTGAAAACAAAACCGCAAATGCCTTTAAGATTAGCTCATTCCAGTGCTATTTAAAACATTCAAATTCCATCCAAAAAATGCAAAAAAAATCTTAAATAATACATTGCCATAAGGGAGCAAAACAGAAACAAGATTTTTCATTAAAAATATTTAAAAATATCAAATTTCCCATCGTATGCACAGATACAATGAGATTTAGGCTGAAGAAAATTGTTTTTGTCAATACTCGAAATGCTCATCATATTCAATTATATTTGATATAATGTATATTTAAATATAAAAAATTATTATTATTATTATTACTCTATCTCTCTTATTTTCCCTAACTCACTGTCATATTCCATTTAGACGAAGAGATCGACGATGTGGAAGGAAATCACAACAGTCACAATTCCCAAAGCACAAGTCACAGAAGTGGCTACAGCTTAGAAAATCATGAAAGCACTGATTCGTATTATAAAAATAATAACAATAATTTTAATAATAATAACAATAAAAATAGGGAATCAAATTACTATGACAATAAAATTTACGATATGCATAAGAAGCACAGGTATGGAATGACAATCACAATGGCCATTAGTGATAGACGAAAAAAAAAATATAATAAAATAACAATTTTATTTTTTCTTATTTCCATGCAAATTATAATACCCGGCAGAAATGGCTACAATAACAGAAAAATCCGTCGTCATGTGAATGAAGGATCGTCATCGTCACATCAAAAAACATCGCTGCAAAGACGACAGCATCCATTAACGTATTCAAGCAGCCAACTGAGTATTGAAGTGTCGAAACTTCATGCTGGTGCCAATGGACGCTTAGAAATAACATGCTTAGCAACAATTCCAGCACAAATTGGTATCGATGAAGAATATGCTGATTATAAAACTCACAGTGTTAAAGGTAAGTTCAGCTTTAAGAGTAAATAAATATTATCAAGTATGGTCTATCGTAAGATGTTGTTTTTCAAATAATTATAAGAACCAAATACTTAAAAAGTTTATGATTAATTACGATAAGATTTGATGAGATTAGCTTTTCTACTTTACGATGAAAATATTATGATTGGATTGGAATTGAAAGAGTTGGGATGTTGTTGCTATCAAACAGAAAAAAATACTTTGGTCTAGAAAAATCTCATCAATACTTTCCGGGAAGATTAAATTGAAAGTTCACAATGTTTGATCTTTGAACTGGATGATAAATTTAATTAAATTATTGATTGGTTCAGGTTGGATCTTTAATTAGATTTAAAATTTTACAATAATTCAATTCAATTCGTCGCATAGATTTAATAAATATTGTAAGACCATGGTAACAGCATTCTTATTACAGATAGCTTGATACTGATAAAAAAACCAAACAAGAAATTTTGTTGATGACATTCGATACCTTTAAGTTATATCCAAGTTGCCAAGTATTGCTCATCATTATTTTATATCCAAACATTGAACACTTATTTTTCTACCGAAAGTCAAAATATTTTCATTTCCCAAGTAAACTGTACACAGCTAGGCAATAAATAAATTAAAGTTATCAAGAACAATTCAATCGAGATCGTTAGCAGGAATGATGAAGTAATAAACACAATTCAATTATTTCCTGCGGCACAGTTAAAATGCTAAATTAACAGTATAATCAATAATCTCATAGACTTAACTACATGATGTGCAGTCTGGAAAATTAAATTAATTCCTTGTAAATCTTTGAATTTTAATCATTTTTACTTCATCCAATAACTTTAATTTAATTAAACATAATCTTTAAAAAGTAATCTTCAGCCTCTTCTTTTCCTGCTACATATTTTTATCATATGTGATGTACAATGTCCCATCATCCATACATAAATTGGATTAAAAACAAATTTTTTCAAAGCAGCAGCAGAAAAAATATATAAAAATTTGCATTGTGCTTGAACTTTTCGATCCTTTCGTCATCATCATCATCATCCCATAATGTGAAGCTTAATAAACTTTGACATTTAGTCGTTGTATGTCAACAAGGGCATTTTTTATCTCGAGATATAGACATACAAAAAAAAAAGGGACGACGTTAAAGGAAAGGGTTCGTTGATGCTTGATAGACTAACTCGTAAATCGGATGGAACAAAAAAAAAAGACACAACTCTATCTCATGTCATCATGAATTTTTAATTAGTTAATTATGCAAAGGCATAATAAAGCTAATCTATATCTTCTCTTTTTTCTTTTTTTACATAGTCGATATTGACAACACTGAGCTTACAACACAACCGCCAGCTGCTGGAATGGCCGCACTAGGAAATCGATCATCAAGTAAAATAATTTCAATGAAATTTTCATTACAATTTCTTACACATTGTCTACCAATATTTGTAATAATCATGATGATATGGCAGTAAGTTGTGCATGTACGTTTTGAGTGAATGGAAATAAACACGAAGGGGAAGAAGACTATAGTCATGTAAATTATGTGAAGGAACAGCATTTTTGGTTATTTTGGGGATGGATTCCTTGAGATGATTTTTGGTGGAAGTCAATTTTGGTGAGAATGTGAAAAAATTGCGAACAAAAATTATCTCAAGGAGAATTGCATGACTTAGCATCTTTAGCTTATACGCATTAGTATGAGCGTCAAAACAATACATCCCCAGCTATTTTTTGAACGTATCAAGACCATAATTTGTAGATACAGTTGCAGGAGCACGAACAATTTTCTTCAAATTTGTAGAATGACTTGTGAATTGTGTGGGCAAACATTGAATGAACGTACCGAAAGATTTTCTCGATTTAGTTTTGCTGTAATTTAATTTTCTATTAATGATCCAATTTATTTTGTTTCTCATTCATTATTCAGTGACTAAAGGCTCCCCAATGCATTGTAAATAGTAAACTTTTTGTGCACAATTAACAGCCGTTTTACCATTTATTATTAAATTTTATTGAGCATTTTTCTGCCAAATATCAAGCATTCTTCAACTAAATTAAATTACATTTCATGTAAATTGCATGAAAATTTAATTAAAATATTTTTCCGATCACACAGCATTTATTTCTCAATAATTCACGAGTATTTTAAATATTTTTCACAGACGAGTGCCACACCTTAATCAGATTGAATGCATTGCTCGCTCTTTTGTTTTATTTAAAAAAAATTCAAGTGCTGTCAGGCACATTTTTAATATTTCAGAATGTTGTCACATACGATGAAGGCTGTAGGATATGTGTGAAGTTTTTCAATAATGCATTACATTCAATATGAAATGAAAACAATGAATTTTTTTTAACAGGCTCTTACTCGAAGTTTCTGATATGCTTGAATGTTTGGACATTTTTAATTTTATTTACAATGTTTTCAATTGGTGCTTTTGAATACAATTGGAAGTGGAATTGAATAGAATTTTATGGATTTTATCGATTCAAATTCACATTCATCAATTAGATTATGATTTAAAATATAGTTTTATGGCTCAGAGGTTTTAAAAAATTGCAGTTTTTATCACAGATTATTCCTAAATTCAAAACTCAATAAAAGTGGCTTTTCACTTATTAAATCAAATATTTCTTTGTTACTTAAATCCACAAATGGCATTTCCTTTTCGTAAAAAGCATCAGTTGCTTAAATAAAGTTGCCAAGTTATGCCTTAACATACTCAACTATTGAATCTGGAACTCTGAAGCAAATGTGGGTTAAACCAATATCTGTATCTTTAATTCTTACTGAGTCTAGTTTTGTCCGAATTCAGTTAAATTGCAGACAACAAACCTGATTTCCTTACAATTCTATCAATCCTTAAAACCTTCAAAAACTTTTTCTTCCTCCTCATTGTTAGATGTTAATTTTATTCCATCATTCACTGTCTGTTCTCAATGAACGTAAATGCATTCCGAGGAAAAACTCTTCAGGAATTAAATTAATTTATGAAGCAATTTTTAATTTGCAAATTTTTCATGCAAATAAATCACAACTTTTCATGAACAACTTTAGATTTCCAATTTATTGAAAAGAATTTTTGCATTTCTTATTGATTAAAATCCATTTTTTCACAGTTTAAATATTAACATTTGATTATTAATTTATTGAAATTTTTTCGCCTTTTTTCAGCTCTTAATCAAATATGAATTTCAAATTTATTGATATTAACTTCGATAAAAAATACATAAAAATGGAGATTTGATTGAAACTTTCTTGTTTTCAATTCTTATTTAAAAATTACAAAAATTCGCATTGCAAATTCTTTTAAAAATATTCGCGAAACCACAAATGTTTACAAACTTTACAGCACAATGCATTCACCAGCAAAACTTTATCATTTCTTTAATTGACGTAGACTGCAATGCCTCCCATTAAAGCTCGTTGAAATATTTATGACTGATTTTTGTTCGTGTTTCTTACAATCTACAATATATATATATTGAAAAAAAAAAATTGTGTGAAAAATGAGAGTAAATATGGAATGAATGGTGACAAATAATAAATATGAAAAAGCAGTGAGCTTTCGATGTGAAAAATTACTATGATTATATACAAAAACAAAAAAAATAATATATTTAGATGCATGAGACGAGATATGTCTCACTCGAATGAACAACGTTTCTACAAATATTTATAATTATTAATCTTACATAATTTATGATTATGCGTATGACGTGATTCTTGGAGGTTAGTGTTGTCTGATTTAAATGCTCAAATGAGTTTTAAGGGGATTGTTCTGATGAATTAAACAAATATTTTATTTTACTATTCAAAATCTAAGTTATTGTAGATAAATTAAGGGTGTTTGCTTTATTAAGTATCAAAAAGCTCGTTGAGACAAATTTAAGGAAGTCTAATATCGAAAGCATATTCCGAAACCTAGTCAAAAATCATTTTTGGTCTCAAAACAATTTTTTTTCACAAACTTCTAGTCTGCAGCCCAGAGCTCGAAATCGATGAAATTTTGTATGGAGTCGACTCCACTATACAAAATCGATGAAAATTCGAGCTCTGCTGCAACCTAGCCACAATTTATATTCTTACTAGCAAATAAAGTTGCAACTTAATGACGGCTGAAGCCACAACTTTATTCATCTTTTAAAAATTGATGCAAAACATTTTTTGACCACAAACAACCCTCAAAACTCAAAATCAGTCTCGACAATATCCTCAAAAATCACAAATTATGCTAAGATAAATTCATGTCATTTAAATGGATCAAGAAGCGTGGTGAAAGAAACTAAATCTAGCAACAAGAAAAAAAAATCTTTTATGTAGATTAGTGGAAAGGAAATAAGTAAAATCATAAGTAGAACATAACGTTCAAACAATAAGTAATGATTGTGACAACAGACTTTATGTGTAAATAATATAGAAAAAATGAAATAATAATAATAGTGAAAAATAATAATATTTGACAGTAAGTCCTACATTACGTTCACACAACTACATACATATACAGACATCCAGAAACAGTGAACATATACACGAAAAAAAAATCAATAAAACATACAATATTTATAAAATTAATATTACATAAGCATAAATGCGTTTAAACAATAGCGAATTTTTCTCAGAATTTTATTTTTTATGAGTTTCCGTACTCTGATGGCTGTTTTGTGTAAAAATGACTCTGTATGTTGTATGCCTACCTAAATGATAAATTCAAAATGCTTTCAAGATGAAAAACTACCATGCAATTTTCTCTTAAATTTATTCTGTCAAGGCGAAGCAGCTGTTGATGCTGAAAAATTGATTTTCATCTTTTGAAACCATGGGAATTGTAACAACTTTAAGGATAAATGTATTTAAATGTGAAGAGTATGAGTTTAACCTTTTTTGAGTGTTAGAGAAGTACCTTTCCTCAAAAATCACACAGCAGAAGAGAATGATCGATGATTTAAATTTATTTCAATGGATTTCCCAAGGATTCTCATGAAATTTTAATGATATTGATTATGTCTTCCTAGAATCTGCTGGTAGATTTCACAAAAAGTTTGTCCCTGACGATTTGTGCATTAATAATGATGTTTTGGAATTTTCTGCTTCACGTCCTCCTCCATGAGTTTCTTTCTTGAAAATTGAGTAGGTTTTGTAAAGGTTCTCCTGCTAGTTCCTTGTAATTCGTGGGATATAAGCTCAGGCAATCATAATAATTTTTATGAATAATATTTTTATATTCTGCAAAGCTTCCGCCTTCATGTTTAATTCTGTTTATACTTGAATTTCTGCTTTGAGGGTTTGAAACTTTTTTAAAGTCTTTTGTTCCTTGAACATAAAATTCAGTCCTCAAAAGTCATAATATCCAGTGTGGATTCACCTTTTCCTCACTAATAGAAAGAAAATTGAATAAAAATCACAGAAATTAATCAAAACGTCAGACACCACAGCTGTTTTGCCTTGAAATCTTGTTCCTTATTTTTGCTGCCATGTGTGATTTTATCTCTTTCTAAAAACACATCATCTTTATTGCAAAAAAAAATACTAAAAAAGAGAAAATGAAATAAAATACTGGATAGAACATAAATTTTAAGTTTGTGCTGCTTCTATTTTATTTCTCCATAGTCACGAGTGTATGTTTTGATAAAGTACACGAGAGATGATATTTTAGAAGTTTGAAGTGTCTGAAACAAATAGCTCTAAAATTGATGTTTTTGATGCTTATGTCTTCGAATTTCTATTGACTAAAATGTTCAACACGGTATCTGCAGAGTTCATAAATTGCTAATAATGATATACAATAAAAATATATATAAAAAAAATATTTACAAACAATTTCCAATTTATTATTTTTTGCTATGAAAAAAAGTTCAATAACACAAAAAAAAGGTGAAATATCAATGTCAATCATTCAGAAATCAACTTAATAAAATAACCAAAAGTCGCATTTTTTGAATAAAAATCTTAATAATGGAACAATAGGAGTAAAATAAGAATTGATATTTTTAGGGGTATCTTCAGAACTTTTTGGGGGTCTTCCTAAATGTTTCAAGTCTTTAAAAAATAAATACAATAATATATCTGTGTATTTTTCTATTCTACAACCTACAGACAACCTTTATTATACAATAAAAAAATCTTGTCAATAAAAATATTAAGCATTGCTGGAACATGGCTAAGCTAACATTTCGTTAGATTAGTACTTCAAAAATTAATACAAGGCGGTATTGTGTGATTGTAGGATGGGATTGAATAAAAACAGGAAAAGCATTTTCAACTTCTCAAAATTATTTAAAATATTATCGAAACTTGTAAAGTCACGATTTTTGTTCATATGAAAAAAAATTAATAATTGATTGCCAGATAATCAAAGTTGTAGTTATTCACTCGACCAAGTTCGCTTTAAAAAATCATAAATTATATTAAACGATTCGAACTTATACGAACTAGAATTTAATTAAAAAACTACATTTTATATCAAAAATCGTCCTTACTGGTGCCACATTAGAGTTTTAAATTGTCAAACAAATTTTATTTTTTAAGATTTTCATTTCAAATAGTGAGCACAATATTTGACTAAATTCTTCAATTGTCCACTTGACAAACAATAAATTATTTCATAAGATAAAAAATTCAATTACATTCACCCATCAAAATGATAAATTGTAAAGCATTTGGAGAAAAAGATTCGCTAAGATTGGACTTTAATCTTCAGGGCTTATGTTGATATTTTTTTATAAATTTATCTTGAAGCACCAAAAAGACCACGCATTGAACCTTTCCCACGGCAGATTCAACATTCGAAATGTCAACGAATCATATTTTCTTAACAATAATAAGTTCAATAAAGTTATAGAAAGCAATTCTGCTCACTTCTTGAATACAATTTATTTTCTAATAATCTGATTGATTGTGATAATTAAAATTGATGAGTTCAATGCTGTTATGTGTTCAATGGCAGACGACATTCCTACAAAAGTAAACAAAATAGACGAAAAATA